GATGGAAGTGGTGGTTCAGAAGAATTGTCAGAGTTAGTTGGCGGCGGAGAGGAGGAAGAGGCGGGTGGGGGGCCGATGGTTGGTGCAGTTCGAGAGGCGCAGTTGATCCGAACATGTCCAACAAGTCCGATTCTAGCCCGGAATGTCCGTTGACATCGAGGGCACGTTGGAAGCGGTTGTGCGGCGGCGTTGCGTACTGGGCGAATTTGTGATTTGCGGGCTTCACGTTTCGCTTTGGCGGCAGCCATGCGATTGGCTTCGTGGATCGCAGCGCCTGTCTTCACTGTCCTCCTCCATGTCGGTCAATCGAGTGCGAGCTCCTCCCAGTTGGTGGGGTTGATTTGCAGACCGAAGTTCTCGCAGGCGGCGGTGAATAGTTCCATGCTGCGTTGCATCTCCTATTCCGAGGTGGTGTTCAGGGCGCAGTCGTCGGCGAAGAGAAGTTTGTGAACGGTGGTTGTAGATACGCGCGATTGGAATTTCATGAGCCGTTGATTCAGGAGATGACCTTCCGTCCTGTAGGCGATGCGGATCCCGGGGCGTTCGTCGCGGTAGGCGTCCATCAGCATGACAGAGAACATAAGACTGAAGAGGGTTGGCGCCAGCACGCATCGCTGCTTCACTCCGTTGGTCACTGCGAATGCCTCTGAGACAGCTCCGTTGTTCGTGACTCGCGCCATCATACCGTCGTGCAGCTGACGCACCATCTGAGTGAATCGCTCCGGACAGCCGAATTTCTGCATGATCTTCCACAGTCGTTCACGTTTCACCGTGTCGAAGACTTTCATCAGGTCCACGAGGGTAGAGTACAGGTGGGTCCGCATCTCCTGACGCTTCTCCTGAAGGTGACGGGTAGCGAAGATCATATCCCCGGTGATTGTCGCAGTTTTGGCGATTCCCTTTTCGCTTCTAGATATGCACGATGGTTGCGTCTTTGAAGTCTTGCGGGACATCGCCTTGACGCCACATTTCCTGGAAGAGCGCAGTCAGGTGATCCATCAGTAGGGGACATCCGTGCTTGTAGACCTCAGCAGGGATTGCGTCCGATCCGGGTGCTTTCCCGCTGTAGAGCTGCTGCACGGCCCTGATGGTTTCCTGGAGAGATGGCGTGAGGTCTAGGTCCGCGTTGGTCTCCACTTGCGGCAAACGCGCGATGGCGGCGTCGGAGATGGCGGAAGGGCGGTTGAGGACGCCTCGGAAGTGCCCGGCCCATCGCTGTAGGATTTGCGTCTTGTCAGTCAGGAGAGTGCTGCTGTCGGCGCTGAGAGGAGGAGCAGTGTCCTTCGTTGGCGGACCGTAGACAGCTTTGATCGCAGAGAAGAAGTTCTTCCATTCGTTGTGGTCCGCGTAGCCTTGGATCTCCTCAGCTTTACGAGCAGTCCAGGCGTCCTGCATCTCGCGCAGTCGTTGCTGCGGTAGAAGGCAGTTTTGTTGTCTTCAGTGGGGTGGTATGTTTAGGCTTGGTGTAGGCGGTTCTTCTCAGCAAGCAGATTTCTGATGGCGGCGTCGTTGTCGTCGAACCAGTCCTGGTGTTGGCGGGAAGCGCGACCGAGGACGGCGAGCGCCGTCGACTGGACCGTGCCTCGCAGTTGACACCGGGGGTTCTCCACGGAGGCATTCTCGGCAACGGCCCCCACGCCGGCGGAGAGGCAGACGGAGGCTCATGAGGCGATCGTTGATGCCGTGCGGCTGACTGGGCAGTATTCCCACGATGTCGTTCCGGATTTCAAAGGTGACACCCGCGTCTCGTCGCTCTGCCTTGGGTCGACCACTTCAGAAGAAGGTGTAACCGGCACCCACCTCCTCCAGTTGGCCTTGTTCGGAGAATCGGGTCTCGCTGAGTGCGGCGACGTCCACCTTGTATCGCGCCAGTTCTCGTGGCACTAGCGCCGTCCTCCGTTCCGGTCGGTTGCTCCTCGGATTGTCTAGAAGGGAACGAACATTCCAGACTGCCAGAGTGAGCGGACTCACCCTGTCAGTCTGGTGACAACGAGTGGGCGACGTGAAGGAGATGGAGAAGACGACGAAGGAGAAGAATAGGCAGAAGAATGGACGGATGTAGAGGAAGAAGGGGTAGGATGAGGAGAATGAATATGGTTGTTGTTGTTATTTGGATTGTTGTTGTTTCGATTTTGAGTGTTTCGACCGTGTGATGACATCTGCGGCCGTGGCTAGCCTGCAGACGGCGTGGTGCCCAGCATTTTTGAGGCCACCTTTTCTGGAGAGAGAGAGAGGATTGCTTTATTTTGAAAATAGCTTTCAAAACTTTCAGCAAAAACGGTTCTCAAGTACACAGTGATTACCATAGAGATTAACAGGTATTGGACAGGTGGACATAATTATATATGAAGAAAAAGGGACTTTAAGGTGAATGATCGATTTTTAGTTTTTGTTTTTCAACATCTTTACAGGTGAGATACCGGGTTATAAATGGCAGTATGGAATTCCGATAGGCCGGAGTTCGACAAGGGATGTGGCGGAAGCATCGACGCATGGGGCGTAAGGATTTCGCAGCCATTAACTCATTATGAAGGGGATGGACGGTGTCATTCAGAATTCGGTCAGCGAATTGCTCCACCGAGTTGAACTGTCGCTGCACGATGATATCAAAATTTATACACCAGTCTTGATTGACAAAAATGGCCACTCCTCAACCTCTACTGCCTGTTGGAGATGCTCTGTCATTTCGAAAACAACAAAATGTCGAATGAGTGATTAGTTCCGAGTCAATATGGCTATTCAACCACGTATCCTGAAGGCAAATTACTCCTGTTTTGCCATGTTCTTTGGTTGACAGAAGTAATTCCAAATCATGGGTTTTGTTAAATATCGATCGACAGTTAGTCGAAAGAAAACCCGGGATTGACAACTTGTTTTTAGGCTGGCGTTTAAGCGCAACTTGCCATCCACAGTGATGTTGCTTTCGAAAAATTGGCCTTTGCTGATACGAGCGTGGAAAGGCCAGCGAGGAAGGACGAGAAACAGGACAAGTTGTCAGAGTGTAACTGCTGCTGGCACGCTGAGTTCGGTGCGTTTGAGAGCGTGAGAAGGCCAACGCAGGACAATCGCAGAAACGACAAGTTGGCCGCAAAGTGCAACCACTAGAGTCATGATCAGGAGGCGGAAAAATCGATGCAGAAATTTCGCAGGGTTTAAGCTCCTTTAAAA